CCCCAAAACCCCAAAACCCCAAAACCCCTGGGATCCAGAACTATTATAATTTTAATTTCTATATTAAATTGATAAAACAAAATTGAATTAAAAGATATGGAAAATAATCATTAGAAGATTTATTATGCTGGCTTTGGTTTTTTTGCTTCTGCACTGACATGTCTTACATATTATTGCTACAGAGATTATCAAAAAAAAGGAATAAGTTTCATTAGTAAATTAAAACCAGAAAAGTTAGCTGTTTTTGAAGGATAAATAAGCACTCTAAACTTAAAAGATTAAAATGAAAAGATTATTTACAAAAAAGAAAAGAGCATCTATTATAAGGAAAAAGATGACTTTGTCAATAAAAAATATAGCAATTTAAATATTAATGACCAAAATTTTAGAAATGGAGACATACTCAAAAATTATTAAGAGTACGGTAATCCAGTTGAGGTAGTTTAATGGGTAAGTGGCAAAAATTTATAATGTATAAATATCCCAATTTTTTCTAAATTGATGCATTTAAATCTTTAATTTAGAGAAGTTTTTGTGTTAAAGATTTTACTGGTTAAATGTGCTTTAATATGGAGGAATAAAATTAAAGACAAAATATTACAATTCAGAAAAAAAATCATGAGAGAGGGTTTCTCCAACAAAGAGGATTGGTAAAACATGGTTCATCTGCAATTTCATTGACATGTACTTTAAAATAGATGTAAACTATCTTTTGATAAACTAAATTCAAGTATTATATTTTAGTGTCGAAATAAGTGAGATTAAGGTTGGAGACAGAGTCAGAATTGAACTCACATTACCAAAATGTTTCGATAAGGAATATAATTCAAATATAATTGCAGGTGAGTATTCACCAGTGGATAATTCATTTAATTTGACTCTTAAAATATGTGAACCATCTTTATTGTGCAGACTATTTCCTTGGATCATTGCTGGAGGAATTTCATTGGCAATTGGCTTTACACTTTTTTAAAACTACTCCAATATTAGAAATTGTAATGTTTTCATCTAAAACTTTGATATAGATATTGATACTTTGTGTAAAAGGAATCCTTAGTAGAATTTATGTAAAATTTGTCATGTAAAAACATACTTGCTAATTAATAATTTCAATGATTTTTATAGAATGCAGAGAAGGAAATATGTCAACCATGCGGAAATTAACATTAAATTGATGCACCTGTCTACCAAAAAAGAAATCAAATTTATAATGCATGATCAGAATCAAAGAGAAAATATTTCCGTAAAAAACTAAGATAAGCTTGAATGGATAAATATAAATTTTTTAACAATTTATAAAGTTAAAATTTCAAAATCTCAATCAATAGTTAAAAATCTGAATCTAGGGGTTTTGGGGTTTTGGGGTTTTGGGG